ATCTGGTGGAAACGTACTCCAACGTAGAGTCCAGCAACGACGATAATGAAGAACCTTTGGCAGCTTAAAAGTATTATGCCCTAGATAACTTAGATTCGTTACTGATACAGCAGTGCGCTTGGAACCCCCGAAATCTACATGATAACCAAGGGGTGAGTGGCTACTGCACGCCCGGGTACTCTTTCGGCCCAGTGTTCGGCGAAGACGGTTCCTATATTCCACATGAGCAGGGACAGAAAGTCTGAAGTGACGATGAGATGAAGACAAATAAACACCTTCCCACCTCCCATACTCTCCCACCTCCTCATCCCATCCCCTAGTCCATCCCCCACATTCTCCTTCTCTCCCTTTCCCCTTCTCCCTCCTCCTCTCATCTCCTCTTTTTCCTCCCAAGAAGCAGTTAAGAAGACGAGGAGGGAGAGAAGAATCTTTCCACCGCCTGGGACTCCAACGAATGGCAGAGTATTAACCTCCCATTAAACCGAACGAACATCAAAGTATTGGTTGAGTAAGTCTATGAGCACCGGTGGAAGGTAACTGGTATGGTAGTGGCTGAGGGGCTAATGATTTCTAAGTTGATTGTGCTATTTCTCAGCAAGTTCGGTGGTAGTTCAAAAATTTAGGAGAACATTCTCAAAGCCCAATGTGTCCTCGCCTCTTCTTCCCACGAACTGGAGGAGCAAACGCATTTCTCCTAGAACCTTCGTCTACGACAACAACGGTAGTATAGAAATTGACTATGCGAAACTATCGATAAAAAATATTGAGGAGACTTTTCCCAATTTTGTACATTTCATTTTTATTTTCAGCCGGGCAAAACCATGACCACCAAATTAACGTGAAAATTTCCCCGAGAATTAATAATATTTCCCCAAAAATGATCTAAATTTCTAATTATTATGCATTATATTATTTTTTGTCAACCTTTATGCATAAAAACTCTCTCTCTCTCTCTCTCTCTCTCTCTCTCTCCCTCTCTCTCTCTCTCTCTCTCTCTCTCTCTCTCTATTGTTGTTTAAATTTGTTTGTGTGTGCTTGATTGTGTGTGAGTGTGTATTTAACCATGTGCATGTGTGTACTTCCTTGAATGTGTACATATTTGTCCCACTACAGGAGGATGTCCATTTTTGTGTAGATGTCCGTGGAATTGAGGAAGCCTCCATGTGCGTCATGAAAATCTACGCGCCACCATATACACTACATCTACTACACCATCCTCTACACTACATCGACTACACCATCATCTACACTACATCTACTACACCATAATCTACACTACATCTACTACACCATCATCTACACTACATCTAATAAACCATCATCTACACTACATCTACTACACCATAATCTACACTACATCAACTACAACATCATCTACACTACATCTAATAAACCATCATCTACACTACATCTAATAAACCATCATCTACACTACATCTACTACACCATCATCTACACTACATTTAATAAACCATCATCTACACTACATCAACTACACCATCATCTACACTACATCTACTACAACATCATCTACACTACATCTAATACACCATCATCTACACTACATCTACTACACCATCATCTACACTACATCTACTATACCATCTTCTACACTACATCAACTACACCATCCTCTACACTACATCTACTACACGATCCTCTACACTACATCTACTACACATTTAAGATAACTCACTCTATTCCAGGCTGACTATAAATCGCTACCGTAGTTGGTAATCTGCTCAGACAATTTATGGTGTCAAAATAATTGCTAAAATATTTGAATCAAAAATGTGTCACAGGTGTGTAACGCACAGGTGTGTAACGCTCAGCTGTTTGGTGATATGTCTAATAGTGTTGAGCCTAAGTGGACACGAGGCCAAAAAGATACAGTCACTGCTCGGGCTGACTGATGAAGACATTGTCGCACTTCATTGGTGGACGAGTAAGCAAATGACTGTGGCGGACATGGACAAAATTGCTCGATATTTTGGTTATCATTTGACTCCGATAAAAGATGACTCCAGCAAAGAAAACTTGTTCGCTGAGTCCATTATTTTTGAAAAAATTTACCACAACAGGTTTGGAGAGGTATTCATGCAAACCAATGTGCAAAACGTTTACACCATCAGAGAGCCTGACGACGGCATCACAGAGTAGGACTGGGAAGAATATATTGCAAAAAATTTTGAAATCGACGAAGAGTACAACAACCGTCTGGAGGAAACGTACTCCAATGAAGAGTCCAGCAACCTTGATCTGGAGGATACGTCCTCCAACGTAGAGTCCAGCAACCTTGATCTGGAGGATACGTCCTCCAACGTAGAGTCCAGCAACCTTGATCTGGAGGATACGTCCTCCAACGTAGAGTCCAGCAGCCTTGATCTGGAGGATACGCACTCCAACGAAGAGTCCTGCAACCTTGATCTGGTGGAAACGTACTCCAACGTAGAGTCCAGCAACCTTGATCTGGAGGATACGCACTCCAACGAAGAGTCCAGCAACCTTGATCAGGTGGAAACGTCCTCCAACGTAGAGTCCAGCAACATTGAACTGGAGGCAACGTACTCCAACGTAGAGTCCAGCAGCCTTGATCTGGAGGATACGCACTCCAACGTAGAGTCCAGCAACCTTGATCAAGTGGAAACGTACTCCAACGTAGAGTCCAGCAACATTGAACTGGAGGCAACGTACGCCAACGTAGAGTCCAGCAGCCTTGATCTGGAGGATACGCACTCCAACGTAGAGTCCAGCAACCTTGATCTCGTGGAAACGTCCTCCAACGAAGAGTCCAACAACATTGAACTGGAGGCAACGTACGCCAACGTAGAGTCCAGCAGCCTTGATCTGGAGGATACGCACTCCAACGTAGAGTCCAGCAACCTTGATCTGGTGGAAACGTCCTCCAACGAAGAGACCAGCAACATTGAACTGGAGGCAACGTACTCCAACGTAGAGTCCAGCAGCCTTGATCTGGAGGATACGAACTCCAACGTAGAGTCCAGCAACCTTGATCTAGTGGAAACGTACTCCAACGAAGAGTCCAGCAACCTTGATCTGGTGGAAACGTACTCCAACGTAGAGTCCAGCAGCCTTGATCTGGAGGATACGTCCTCCAACGTAGAGTCCAGCAACCTTGATCTGGTGGAAACGTCCTCCAACGAAGAGACCATCAACATTGAACTGGAGGCAACGTACTCCAACGTAGAGTCCAGCAGCCTTGATCTGGAGGATACGAACTCCAACGTAGAGTCCAGCAACCTTGATCTAGTGGAAACGTACTCCAACGAAGAGTCCAGCAACCTTGATCTGGTGGAAACGTACTCCAACGTAGAGTCCAGCAACGACGATAATGAAGAACCTTGGCAGCTTAAAAAGTATTATGCCCTAGATAATCCTAGATTCGTTACTGATACAGCAGTGCGCTTGGAACCCCCCGAAATCTACGATAACCAAGGTGAGTGGCTACTGCACGCTCCGGTACTCTTCGGCCCAGTGTTCGGCGAAGACGGTTCTATATTCCACATGAGCAGGGACAGAAAGTCTAGCGACGATGATGAAGACAAATGGAACACCTTCCAATCTCCCATACTCTCCCCACCTCTCATCCCATCCCTAGTCCATCCCCCACATTCTCCTTCTCCCCTTTCCCCTCTTCCCTCCCCTCCTCTCATCTCCCCTCTTTCCTCCCAAGAAGAAGAAGACGAGGAGGAGAAAGAAGAATCTTCCACCGCCTGGGACTCCAACGAATGGCAGAGTATTAACCTCCCATTAAACCGAACGAACATCAAAGCATGGTTGAGTAAGCTCCATGAGCACCGGTGGAAGGTAACTGGCATGGTAGTGGCTGAGGGGCTAATGATTTCGTTGATTGCATATTTCCTCAGCAAGTTCGGTAGTTCAAAAATTCTAGGAGAACATTCTCAAAGCCCAATGTGTCCTCGCCCTTCTCTCCCACGAACTGGAGGAGCAGTCTTACTCTCCCCTAGAACCTTCGTCTACGACAACAACGGTAGTATAGAAATTGGACTATGCGAAACTATCGATAAAAAATATTGAGGAGACTTTCCCAATTTTGTACATTTCATTTTTATTTTCAGCCGGGCAAAGCAAAACCATGAATCACCAAATTAACGTGAAAATTTCCCGAGAATTAATAATATTTCCCCCCCAAAAATGATCTAAATTTAATTATTATGCATTATATTATTTTTTATCAACCTTTATGCATAAAAACTCTCTCTCTCTCTCTCTCTCTCTCTCTCTCTCTCTCTCTCTCTCTCTCTCTCTCTCTTACACGCAGTAAATTACTTATAATGGAGAACTGTTCTGTTTTAGAAAAAATTGCTCAAATGAAGTCTTAAACTTTTATTATGAAAAATACAATATTTTGTAATACGTATATTAGGGGGCAGTGAAATTTTGCTCAAAGCTGCACTCTTCAGGTATTGTTCCTTATACATATCTAAGACTCCATGCCAAATTTGAAGCTGATATGTCGAGGTTTAGTCTGCCGCATTTTCTACTGAAATTTTTAAATTTACCTACAGTACTAGCCAAACAGCCGCTGTGGCGGTGCAATGTTCTGTTCAGTGTTTATCAACTTTTTTTTTCATATCTCTTATTTCATTTAAGTTGTCTTGTTGCAGATGAGTATGGTGTTATGTCTATATTGATTATCAGCCTTTTCTCATTTCATTTCTCAATGTTGTGTTACTGTACTGTAATGTAGGGGAAACCTGGGTAAGTTGGCGCACTTGAAATTATTCAAATAGTTACCGTTAAGCAATTCACACCGCAGGAGTGTGACGGATATCACCTGGCATGTAATTGTGTTATAAAAGTTCCCAAACGTGAGGTGCAGTTTCTCCTTGACCAGCGAGGTGATAGGAAGATGAAGATTGCAGGGGTTGACATGAAAGTGACGAAGATGTGGGACAGAGTGACGGCAAGAGAGAAGCATGATACGGACAGAGTTAGGAGACAGCTTGAGCAAAAACATAGATATCTGGTCGCTGGAGATATTCCTTATGTTGAGGATAATTCAGATGATTCAAGAGATATTCCTCTCGTCAATACTGATGCTGATTTTGTCCCTGATCCAAGGGCTCTGACAGACACCAGTTCACAGAACCGGACAAGACTCCCTACACTGGCTGCCGCTTGTGACCGATACTTGATTAGTGATTATGCTGGAGCTGCCATTGCTACTGCCACCTTAACTGACTATGGCATTATCACAAAGGATGACAAGAGTCAGGTTATTGGACCACATAAGCTGCGGGATGCGAGACAAAAATACCGATTTAAGAGGCAAGAAATTGAGATGGCTAGTTTAGATAATTTGACGTCACTCTATTTTGATGGTAAGAAGACCGCCACTCGTGTGATGATAAAGAATGAGAAGACCGAGAAATGGAGTTCGAGGATGATGGTGAAAGATCATTATGTCATCATGGTTGAGCCTGGCAATGAATATCTCACACATGTGACTCCCAAGACTGGACACGGAAAGCAGATTGCCAAAACTATTCACGAGTTTCTGGTGGAGAAAAATCTAACCCAGCAGCCCATTGTGTGTGTTGGTTGTGATGGAACCAATGTAAATGTAGGATCAGAAAATGGAGTCATTCATCATCTTGAAATGTTACTTGGTCACCCGCTCCATTATTTCATATGTCAGCTTCACGGAAATGAGCTGCCTTTCCGCGCAGTTTTTTATCACTATGATGGTAAACCAAGTGGTCCTGAGCATTGGCGTGGTCCCATTGAAAAGCAGATCAAGGAGTCTTTGTCTGAGCTTCCAGTTGTCGCCTTCCAGCCAGTCAGTTTCCCTGATTTCCCTGTGTTTAATGATGAAGTGGAGAAAGATCTGTCCCGGGATCAGAAATACCTGTATAGGATTTGTAAAGGAGTTATCACAGGTGTTGTTGAAGATGACTTGGCTGCTATTGAGCCAGGTCCTCCCTGTGTGTCAAGGTGGAACACCTTATGGAGTAGAATCCTCAGGCTGTATGTAGCAACATCAAGACCCAGCCATGAGTTGAAAAGAATTGTCATTACAATAATAAAGTTCAGTGCTCCAATGTGGTTTTACATCAAGATACACCCTTACGTAACACACGGCTCAAGGAACGTATTCCAGTCCCTGCTATATATGAAACACCTGAATAGTGAGGAGGAGACGATAGTGAAGAAGGCTGTCCAGAGAAATGCATACTTCGCCCACACAGATCAACTTCTTCTTGGTATGTGTGCAGATGAGGACATGACTGTTAGAGAAAAAGCTGTCTCAATGATAAGAAAAATTAGAGAGGAGAATCAGCAAAAGGAAGAATGCACTGGCAGATCTGAAGAGGAGGAGGAAGATTCTGATGCTGCTGTTGACGAGAATTTGTTAAACTATACTGATGAGGAGGGTAAAGATGGAGATGGGAATGAGGATGTGGCTCCTGTAGTCAACATGAGAAAGGTGGTGACTCCGAAACTAAAGTGGCAAGCAAAAAACTATCATTCCATGATTAACTGGAGGAATGAACTCAAGACTGAGCCTCCTTACATTGCTTCTCTGTCAAATCTACAGGTTAATGACATTCTTGAGACACCATTAGTGGTGCCCAAGTGGCCAAACAGCACTCAGGCGGTCGAGAGAGGCATAAAAGTGATGACTGAAGCTTGCACTGAAGTGACGGGATACGAATCGAGAGATGGATATATTAGGCAAAGATTATTGTCTAGGAAAATGATGCCAAGGTTCCGCACAAAAAAGAATTTCAATATGAACTTGTAATGATTTTCTATACGGTGTACCTGTAAAATAACATGTGAATTAAATCGATGTCACCCATGTAAAATTTATCATTATCCTGGAAAACATTAAATGACACCTAATTTTTGGTATACACTAAAAGTTGACAAAAAGTCGTTCGCGATGCGGCAGGGTAAGTATGCATGAAATGGCATGAACTTTTGCACAGGTGTTTGTTACAGCCATACAAACGATGCCTGAAAAGTGCAGCCTGCAACTCAAATAAAAGTGTTTTTTCCCTGCCCCCATATACGTCGTATATACTTCACCAACCACTGTTAAACTTAGTGGAATTGTGGTGGTTAAGTAAAGCTCCTTTCAACGCTGTTAACCTAGTTTCTCCGTGAAGAAAACAAAATCCCTCATTGACACTTTCCATTAAATCAGCATAATTATTCCTTTTCATAATAATCAAATTTCCCCCCAAACTGCCATTTTCCTAGATTTTCCCTAAATCCACTCCAATTTCCCGGCCAAGGAACTTTTTCACCAAAACTGGGAGCTCTGATTATTATTACAATTATTACACAACTACTACTGCTGCTGTCCGTCAGTTTTTTGTCTGCCTTGGCTGTGTTCTCAGCCTGACCTGTGTTACCCTCTCAGTCTGACCTGTGTTATCCTCTCAGTCTGACCTGTGATACCCTCTCAGCCTGACCTGTGTTACCCTCTCAGTCTGACCTGTGTTATCCTCTCAGTCTGACCTGTGATACCCTCTCAGTCTGACCTGTGTTACCCTCTCAGTCTGACCTGTGTTACCCTCTCAATCTGACTTGTCAAATATACTACAGGACTAGGCGTGTGTCTGTCTGTCTGTTATGGGCAGCCGAAACGTCACAATCGTTTTTCATCAAACTTGGTGGAAAAATCGCAAAAAATTCGTAGAGTGGACCAAACCTGGTCCCATGACGATAGTTTCTTTAGGAAGGCATTAATTAACCATTTTATTTACGATGGAAAACGATGTAAGTCTATGGACTTGGCGCATCCCAATTAACAATGCAAGTCTACGGACTTGGCGCACCCTCATTCACTGTACGCTGTCAGCCGGACGGCGAACCTGGCACGAAGGGCCCACTGTCATACAATACAATACAAAACAAAACAGTACAGTACAGTACAGTACATTACAGTACAATGCCACACAATACCATACCATACAATACAATACACAACGAACTCTAAATATTTGTAAGAATAAAACATAATTATATAGACATGTAAAACTCACAACTTGATAAGATATCCGTAAGACATTAGCTATTGGAAATGTGATTAAATGTTTTGTCATTAATCCAGTTTGAAATGTACCGGTATTGGTGGTACAATCCTAATGGTCTCTAATCCTGTTGATTAGGTGAGGTTAATCTGGGTTTATTGAGATTAAAGATTAGGTGTGGGGTTTATTTTACCTGTGTTAGTCTCAGGTACGACCCGTATTATAACAACCAGGACCATGATTATAACAACCAGGACCAAGATTGTAACAACCAGGACCATGATTATAACAACAAGGACCATGATTATAACAACCAGGACCAAGATTGTAACAACCAGGACCATGATTATAACAACCAGGACCAAGATTATAACAACCAGGACCATGATTATAACAACCAGGACCAAGATTATAACAACCAGGACCAAGATTGTAACAACCAGGACCATGATTATAACAACCAGGACCAAGATTATAACAACCCATGAGGATAACAACGAGGTTATAACAACCAGGACCATGATTATAACAACCACGACCATGATTATAACAACCGACCAGATTATAACAACCACGACCATTAGTTATAACAACCACGACCATGATGGCCACGACCATGATTATAGACCAAGATTGTAACAACACGACCATGATTATAACAACAACGACCAATAACAACCAGGACCATGATTATAACAACCGACCATGATTATAACAACCGACCAACTGATTATAACAACCAGGACCATGATTATAACAACCACGACCACGATATAACTAGCACGACCATGATTATAACAACCACGACCATGATTATAACAACCACAACTATGATATATATTATAACCACGACCAAGATTATAAAAACCACGATTATAACAACCACGACCATGATTATAACAACCACGACCATTATTATAACCACGACCATGATTATAACAACCACGACCATGATTATACAACACGACCATGATTATAACAACCACGACCATGATTATAACAACTACGAATATGATTATAATAACCATGGCCATGATTATAACAACCACGATCATGATTATAACAACCACGACCATGGTTATAATAACCACGACCATGATTATAACAACCACGACCATGATTATAACAACCACGACCATGATTATAACAACCACGACCATGATTGTAACAATCACGACCATGATTATAACAACCACGACCATGATTATAACAACCACGACCATGATTATAACAACCACGGCCATGATTATAACAACCTAGGTAAACTGTACCACCGGGCTCGCCACCGGGCACGAAGGGCCCATGATCACTTGTCTAATATACTATAGGACTAGCCGTGTGTCTGTCGTCTGTCTGTCTGTCTTTTGTTTTGGGCAGCAGAAACGGTACAAACGTTTTTCATCAAACTTTTTTGGAAAAATCGCAAAAAATTCATAGAGTGGAACAAACTTGGTCCCATGTCGATGGTTTCTTTAGGAAGGCGTTAATTTGTCATTTATTTACGATGGAAAACGATGCATGTCCTATGGACTTGGAGCACCCCAATTAACCATGCAAGTCTACGGACTTGGCGCACCCTCATTCACTGTACGCTAGCCAAGCCCGAGCGTTCAAACTTTCACTGGGCATGAAGGTGCCCGCAATCACTTGTTATCACCTATACCACAATCCCCTTACGACCTTCTAGCCATCACCCCCCCCCCCTTAACAATAACAACACTACAACACCTCTCTCTCACAACCACAACATTCATCCGTTTTCTGATGAGTGGTGTGTTATGATGTTAGGGAAAACTAAACTATTTTTCATACTTTCACCAAAACTGAAATTAATCGTTCACGTGACCTCAAACAACGCCACATGGATGGGAGAAAGAAAAAAAAACATGTTCTGTACACGTTGAATGCAATGTCCTGTCTGGTTCATTGTCTCAGGGTGGGTGGGTCCATGGGCTGGTTGGGTCCATGGGCTGGGTGGGTCCATGGGTTGGGTGGGTTCATGGGCTGGGAGGGGACTGGTCTGTTCCTCCTCCCATGGGCTATATGACGCGACGCTAGCAAGGTAATTATGCATGTTATCACCACCGTGTCTGTCAATATCACGACAGATGTTCATCTCTGAATACCACCATTCTAACCTACTCTCTCTCTCTCTCTCTCTCTCTCTCTCTCTATTGTTGTTTCAATTTGTTTGTGTGTGCTTGATTGTGTGTGAGTGTGTATTTAACCATGTGCATGTGTGTACTTCCTTGAATGTGTACATATTTGTCCCACTACAGGAGGATGTCCATTTTTGTGTAGATGTCCGTGGAATTGAGGAAGCCTCCATGTGCGTCATGAAAATCTACGCGCCACCATATACACTACATCTACTACACCATCCTCTACACTACATCGACTACACCATCATCTACACTACATCAACTACACCACAATCTACACTACATCTACTACACCATCATCTACACTACATCTAATAAACCATCATCTACACTACATCTACTACACCATAATCTACACTACATCAACTACAACATCATCTACACTACATCTAATAAACCATCATCTACACTACATCTAATAAACCATCATCTACACTACATCTACTACACCATCATCTACACTACATTTAATAAACCATCATCTACACTACATCAACTACACCATCATCTACACTACATCTACTACAACATCATCTACACTACATCTAATACACCATCATCTACACTACATCTACTACACCATCATCTACACTACATCTACTATACCATCTTCTACACTACATCAACTACACCATCCTCTACACTACATCTACTACACGATCCTCTACACTACATCTACTACACATTTAAGATAACTCACTCTATTCCAGGCAGACTATAAATCGCTACCGTAGTTGGTAATCTGCTCAGACAATTTATGGTGTCAAAATAATTGCTAAAATATTTGAATAAAAAATGTGTCACAGGTGTGTAACGCACAGGTGTGTAACGCTCAGCTGTTTGGTGATATGTCTAATAGTATTGAGCCTAAGTGGACACGAGGCCAAAAAGATACAGTCACTGCTCGGGCTGACTGATGAAGACATTGTCGCACTTCATTGGTGGACGAGTAAGCAAATGACTGTGGCGGACATGGACAAAATTGCTCGATATTTTGGTTATCATTTGACTCCGATAAAAGATGACTCCAGCAAAGAAAACTTGTTCGCTGAGTCCATTATTTTTGAAAAAATTTACCACAACAGGTTTGGAGAGATATTCATGTAAACCAATGTGCAAAACGTTTACACCATCAGAGAGCCTGACGACGGCATCACAGAGTAGGACTGGGAAGAATATATTGCTAAAAATTTTGAAATCGACGAAGAGTACAACAACCGTCTGGAGGAAACGTACTCCAATGAAGAGTCCAGCAACCTTGATCTGGAGGATACGTCCTCCAACGTAGAGTCCAGCAACCTTGATCTGGAGGATACGTCCTCCAACGTAGAGTCCAGCAACCTTGATCTGGAGGATACGTCCTCCAACGTAGAGTCCAGCAGCCTTGATCTGGAGGATACGCACTCCAACGAAGAGTCCTGCAACCTTGATCTGGTGGAAACGTACTCCAACGTAGAGTCCAGCAACCTTGATCTGGAGGATACGCACTCCAACGTAGAGTCCAGCAACCTTGATCAGGTGGAAACGTCCTCCAACGTAGAGTCCAGCAACATTGAACTGGAGGCAACGTACTCCAACGTAGAGTCCAGCAGCCTTGATCTGGAGGATACGCACTCCAACGTAGAGTCCAGCAACCTTGATCAAGTGGAAACGTCCTCCAACGTAGAGTCCAGCAACATTGAACTGGAGGCAACGTACTCCAACGTAGAGTCCAGCAGCCTTGATCTGGAGGATACGCACTCCAACGTAGAGTCCAGCAACCTTGATCAAGAGGAAACGTACTCCAACGAAGAGTCCAGCAACCTTGATCTGGAGGATACGTCCTCCAACGTAGAGTCCAGCAACCTTGATCTGGAGGATACGTCCTCCAACGTAGAGTCCAGCAGCCTTGATCTGGAGGATACGCACTCCAACGAAGAGTCCAGCAACCTTGATCTGGTGGAAACGTACGCCAACGTAGAGTCCAGCAGCCTTGATCTGGAGGATACGCACTCCAACGTAGAGTCCAGCAACCTTGATCTCGTGGAAACGTCCTCCAACGAAGAGTCCAGCAACATTGAACTGGAGGCAACGTACGCCAACGTAGAGTCCAGCAGCCTTGATCTGGAGGATACGCACTCCAACGTAGAGTCCAGCAACCTTGATCTGGTGGAAACGTCCTCCAACGAAGAGACCAGCAACATTGAACTGGAGGCAACGTACTCCAACGTAGAGTCCAGCAGCCTTGATCTGGAGGATACGAACTCCAACGTAGAGTCCAGCAACCTTGATCTAGTGGAAACGTACTCCAACGAAGAGTCCAGCAACCTTGATCTGGTGGAAACGTACTCCAACGTAGAGTCCAGCAGCCTTGATCTGGAGGATACGTCCTCCAACGTAGAGTCCAGCAACCTTGATCTGGTGGAAACGTCCTCCAACGAAGAGACCATCAACATTGAACTGGAGGCAACGTACTCCAACGTAGAGTCCAGCAGCCTTGATCTGGAGGATACGAACTCCAACGTAGAGTCCAGCAACCTTGATCTAGTGGAAACGTACTCCAACGAAGAGTCCAGCAACCTTGATCTGGTGGAAACGTACTCCAACGTAGAGTCCAGCAACGACGATAATGAAGAACCTTGGCAGCTTAAAAAGTATTATGCCCTAGATAATCCTAGATTCGTTACTGATACAGCAGTGCGCTTGGAACCCCCCGAAATCTACGATAACCAAGGTGAGTGGCTACTGCACGCTCCGGTACTCTTCGGCCCAGTGTTCGGCGAAGACGGTTCTATATTCCACATGAGCAGGGACAGAAAGTCTAGCGACGATGATGAAGACAAATGGAACACCTTCCAATCTCCCATACTCTCCCCACCTCTCATCCCATCCCTAGTCCATCCCCCACATTCTCCTTCTCCCCTTTCCCCTCTTCCCTCCCCTCCTCTCATCTCCCCTCTTTCCTCCCAAGAAGAAGAAGACGAGGAGGAGAAAGAAGAATCTTCCACCGCCTGGGACTCCAACGAATGGCAGAGTATTAACCTCCCATTAAACCGAACGAACATCAAAGCATGGTTGAGTAAGCTCCATGAGCACCGGTGGAAGGTAACTGGCATGGTAGTGGCTGAGGGGCTAATGATTTCGTTGATTGCATATTTCCTCAGCAAGTTCGGTAGTTCAAAAATTCTAGGAGAACATTCTCAAAGCCCAATGTGTCCTCGCCCTTCTCTCCCACGAACTGGAGGAGCAGTCTTACTCTCCCCTAGAACCTTCGTCTACGACAACAACGGTAGTATAGAAATTGGACTATGCGAAACTATCGATAAAAAATATTGAGGAGACTTTCCCAATTTTGTACATTTCATTTTTATTTTCAGCCGGGCAAAGCAAAACCATGAATCACCAAATTAACGTGAAAATTTCCCGAGAATTAATAATATTTCCCCCCCAAAAATGATCTAAATTTAATTATTATGCATTATATTATTTTTTATCAACCTTTATGCATAAAAACTCTCTCTCTCTCTCTCTCTCTCTCTCTCTCTCTCTCTCTCTCTCTCTCTCTCTATTGTTGTTTCAATTTGTTTGTGTGTGCTTGATTGTGTGTGAGTGTGTATTTAACCATGTGCATGTGTGTACTTCCTTGAATGTGTACATATTTGTCCCACTACAGGAGGATGTCCATTTTTGTGTAGATGTCCGTGGAATTGAGGAAGCCTCCATGTGCGTCATGAAAATCTACGCGCCACCATATACACTACATCTACTACACCATCCTCTACACTACATCGACTACACCATCATCTACACTACATCTACTACACCATAATCTACACTACATCTACTACACCATCATCTACACTACATCTAATAAACCATCATCTACACCACATCTACTACAATTACAATCTACACTAAGGATCAACTACAACATCATCTACACCACATCTAATAAACCATCATCTACACTACATCTAATAAACCATCATCTACACTACATCTACTACAATTCATCATCTACACCACATCTACTACACCATAATCTACACTAAGCAATCTACTACACCATCATCTACACTACATCTAATAAACCATCATCTACACTACATCGACTACACCATCATCTACACTACATCTACTACACCATAATCTACACTACATCTACTACACCATCATCTACACTACATCTAATAAACCATCATCTACACTACATCTACTACACCATAATCTACACTACATCAACTACAACATCATCTACACTACATCTAATAAACCATCATCTACACTACATCTAATAAACCATCATCTACACTACATCTACTACACCATCATCTACACTACATTTAATAAACCATCATCTACACTACATCAACTACACCATCATCTACACTATATCTACTACAACATCATCTACACTACATCTAATACACCATCATCTACACTACATCTACTACACCATCATCTACACTACATCTACTATACCATCTTCTACACTACATCAACTACACCATCCTCTACACTACATCTACTACACGATCCTCTACACTACATCTACTACACATTTAAGATAACTCACTCTATTCCAAGCTGACTATAAATCGCTACCGTAGTTGGTAATCTGCTCAGACAATTTATGGTGTCAAAATAATTGCTAAAATATTTGAATCAAAAATGTGTCACAGGTGTGTAACGCACAGGTGTGTAACGCTCAGCTGTTTGGTGATATGTCTAATAGTGTTGAGCCTAAGTGGACACGAGGCCAAAAAGATACAGTCACTGCTCGGGCTGACTGATGAAGACATTGTCGCACTTCATTGGTGGACGAGTAAGCAAATGACTGTGGCGGACATGGACAAAATTGCTCGATATTTTGGTTATCATTTGACTCCGATAAAAGATGACTCCAGCAAAGAAAACTTGTTCGCTGAGTCCATTATTTTTGAAAAAATTTACCACAACAGGTTTGGAGAGGTATTCATGCAAACCAATGTGCAAAACGTTTACACCATCAGAGAGCCTGACGACGGCATCACAGAGTAGGACTGGGAAGAATATATTGCAAAAAATTTTGAAATCGACGAAGAGTACAACAACCGTCTGGAGGAAACGTACTCCAATGAAGAGTCCAGCAACCTTGATCTGGAGGATACGTCCTCCAACGTAGAGTCCAGCAACCTTGATCTGGAGGATACGTCCTCCAACGTAGAGTCCAGCAACCTTGATCTGGAGGATACGTCCTCCAACGTAGAGTCCAGCAGCCTTGATCTGGAGGATACGCACTCCAACGAAGAGTCCTGCAACCTTGATCTGGTGGAAACGTACTCCAACGTAGAGTCCAGCAACCTTGATCTGGAGGATACGCACTCCAACGTAGAGTCCAGCAACCTTGATCTCGTGGAAACGTCCTCCAACGAAGAGTCCAGCAACATTGAACTGGAGGCAACGTACGCCAACGTAGAGTCCAGCAGCCTTGATCTGGAGGATACGCACTCCAACGTAGAGTCCAGCAACCTTGATCTCGTGGAAACGTCCTCCAACGAAGAGTCCAGCAACATTGAACTGGAGGCAACGTACGCCAACGTAGAGTCCAGCAGCCTTGATCTGGAGGACACGCACTCCAACGTAGAGTCCAGCAACCTTGATCTGGTGGAAACGTCCTCCAACGAAGAGACCAGCAACATTGAACTGGCGGCAACGTACTCCAACGTAGAGTCCAGCAGCCTTGATCTGGAGGATACGAACTCCAACGTAGAGTCCAGCAACCTTGATCTAGTGGAAACGTACTCCAACGAAGAGTCCAGCAACCTTGATCTGGTGGAAACGTACTCCAACGTAGAGTCCAGCAGCCTTGATCTGGAGGATACGTCCTCCAACGTAGAGTCCAGCAACCTTGATCTGGTGGAAACGTCCTCCAACGAAGAGACCAGCAACATTGAACTGGAGGCAACGTACTCCAACGTAGAGTCCAGCAGCCTTGATCTGGAGGATACGAACTCCAACGTAGAGTCCAGCAACCTTGATCTAGTGGAAACGTACTCCAACGAAGAGTCCAGCAACCTTGATCTGGTGGAAACGTACTCCAACGTAGAGTCCAGCAACGACGATAATGAAGAACCTTGGCAGCTTAAAAAGTATTATGCCCTAGATAATCCTAGATTCGTTACTGATACAGCAGTGCGCTTGGAACCCCCCGAAATCTACGATAACCAAGGTGAGTGGCTACTGCACGCTCCGGTACTCTTCGGCCCAGTGTTCGGCGAAGACGGTTCTATATTCCACATGAGCAGGGACAGAAAGTCTAGCGACGATGATGAAGACAAATGGAACACCTTCCAATCTCCCATACTCTCCCCACCTCTCATCCCATCCCTAGTCCATCCCCCACATTCTCCTTCTCCCCTTTCCCCTCTTCCCTCCCCTCCTCTCATCTCCCCTCTTTCCTCCCAAGAAGAAGAAGACGAGGAGGAGAAAGAAGAATCTTCCACCGCCTGGGACTCCAACGAATGGCAGAGTATTAACCTCCCATTAAACCGAACGAACATCAAAGCATGGTTGAGTAAGCTCCATGAGCACCGGTGGAAGGTAACTGGCATGGTAGTGGCTGAGGGGCTAATGATTTCGTTGATTGCATATTTCCTCAGCAAGTTCGGTAGTTCAAAAATTCTAGGAGAACATTCTCAAAGCCCAATGTGTCCTCGCCTTTCTCTCCCACGAACTGGAGGAGCAGTCTTACTCTCCCCTAGAACCTTCGTCTACGACAACAACGGTAGTATAGAAATTGGACTATGCGAAACTATCGATAAAAAATATTGAGGAGACTTTCCCAATTTTGTACATTTCATTTTTATTTTCAGCCGGACAAAGCAAAACCATGAATCACCAAATTAACGTGAAAATTTCCCGAGAATTAATAATATTTCCCCCCCAAAAATGATCTAAATTTAATTATTATGCATTATATTATTTTTTATCAACCTTTATGCATAAAACTCTCTCTCTCTCTATTGTTGTTTCAATTTGTTTGTGTGTGCTTTTGATTGTGTGAGCAGTGTATTTAACCATGTACATTTCCTAATGTACAACCAACACAGGAGGATGTCCATTTTTGTGTAGATGTCCGTGAATTGAGGAAGCCTCCATGTGCGTCATGAAAATCTACGCGCCACCATATACACTACATCTACTACACCATCCTCTACACTACATCGACTACACCATCATCTACACTACATCTACTACACCATAATCTACACTACATCTACTACACCATCATCTACACTACATCTAATAAACCATCATCTACACTACATCTACTACACCATAATCTACACTACATCAACTACAACATCATCTACACTACATCTAATAAACCATCATCTACACTACATCTAATAAACCATCATCTACACTACATCTACTACACCATCATCTACACTACATTTAATAAACCATCATCTACACTACATCAACTACACCATCATCTACACTATATCTACTACAACATCATCTACACTACATCTAATACACCATCATCTACACTACATCTACTACACCATCATCTACACTACATCTACTATACCATCTTCTACACTACATCAACTACACCATCCTCTACACTACATCTACTACACGATCCTCTACACTACATCTACTACACATTTAAGATAACTCACTCTATTCCAAGCTGACTATAAATCGCTACCGTAGTTGGTAATCTGCTCAGACAATTTATGGTGTCAAAATAATTGCTAAAATATTTGAATAAAAAATGTGTCACAGGTGTGTAACGCACAGGTGTGTAACGCTCAGCTGTTTGGTGATATGTCTAATAGTGTTGAGCCTGAAGTGGACACGAGGCCAAAAAAGATACAGTCACTGCTCGGGCTGACTGATGAAGACATTGTCGCACTTCATTGGTGGACGAGTAAGCAAATGATCGGGACATGGACAAAATTGCTCGATATTTTGCTATCATTTGACTCCGATAAAGATGACCTGTTAAAAGAAAACTTGTTCGCTGAGTCCAGCTATTTTTGAAAAAATTTACCACAACAGGTTTGAGAGGTATTCATGCAAACCAATGTGCAAAACGCGTTTACACCATCAGAGAGCCTGACGACGGCATCACAGAGTAGGACTGGGAAGAATATATTGCAAAAAATTTTGAAATCGACGAAGAGTACAACAACCGTCTGGAGGAAACGTACCCAATGAAGAGTCCAGCAACCTGATCTGGAGGATACGTCCTCCAACGTAGAGTCCAGCAACCTTGATCTGGAGGATGTCCTCCAACGTAGAGTCCAGCAACCCTTGATCTGGAGGATACGTCCTCCAACGTAGAGTCCAGCAGCCTTGATCTGGAGGGGATACGCACTCCAACGAAGAGTCCTGCAACCTGATCTGGTGGGAAACGTACCCAACGTAGAGTCCAGCAACCTTGATCTGGAGGATACGCACACCAACGTAGAGTTCAGCAACCTTGATCTGGTGGAAACGTCCTCCAACGAAGAGTCCAGCAACATTGAACTGGAGGCAACGTACGCCTACGTAGAGTCCAGCAGCCTTGATCTGGGAGGATACGTCCTCCAACGTAGAGTCCAGCAACCTTGATCTGGGAGGATACGTCCTCCAACGTAGAGTCCAGCAGCCTTGATCTTAAGGATACGCACTCCAACGAAGAGTCCTGCAACCTTGATCTGGTGGGAAACGTCCTCCAACGAAGAGTCCAGCAACATTGAACTGGAGGCAACGTACGCCTACGTAGAGAATCCAGCAGCCTTGATCTGGAGGATACGGCACCCAACGCAGTCCAGCAACCTTGATCCGTGAAACGTCCTCCAACGAAGAGTCCAGAAGCAACATTGAACTGGAGGCACGTACGCCAACGTAGAGCTTCAGCAGCCTTTGATCTGAGGATACGTACTCCAACGTAGAGTCTCAGCAACCTTGATCTGGTGGAAACGTCCTCCAACGAAGAGACCAGCAACATTGAACTGGAGGTAACGTACTCCAACGTAGAGTCCAGCAGCCTTGATCTGGAGGATACGAACCGCTAAATGGTGAGTCCAGCGCAACCTTTGATCTAGTGGAAACGTACTCCAACGAAGAGTCCAGCAAATCCCTTGATCTGGTGGAAACGTACTCCACCCAGAGTCCAGCAGCCTTGATCTGGAGGATACGCTGCCCAACGTAGAGTCCAGCAACCTTGATCTGCGGAAAACGTCCTCCAACGAAGAGACTATCAACATTGAACTGGAGGCAAACGTACTCAACGTAGAGTCCAGCAGCCTTGATCTGGAGGATACGAACTCCAACGTAGAGTCCAGCAACCTTGATCTAGTGGAAACGTACCCAACGAAGAGTCCAGCAACCTTGATTCGTGGAAACGTACCCAACGTAGAGTCCAGCAACGACGATAATGAAGAACCTTGGCAGCTTAAAAGTATTATGCCCCAGATAATCCTAGATCTGTTACTGATACAGCAGTGCTTGAACCCCCGGAAATCTACATAACCAAGGTGAGTGGCTACTGCATCGCCTCCGGTAATTCTTTTCGGCCCAGTGTTCATGGTGAAGACGGTTCTATATTCCACATGAGCAGGGACAGAAAGTTCAGCTTAATTTACTTTTATTTTAGCTAATAAATGGAACACCTTCCAACCCTCCCATACTCTCCCCACCTCTCATCCCCATCCCCAGTCCATCCCCCACATTCTCCTTTCTCCTTTCCCCTCTTCCCTCCCTCCTCATCTCCCCTCTTTCCTCCCAAGAAGAAGAAGACGAGGAGGAGAAAGAAGAATCTTCCTACCGCCTGACTCCAACGAATGGCAGAGTATTAACCTCCCATTAAAACTGAACGAACATCAAAGCATGGTTGAGTAAGTTCCATGAGCACCGGTGGAAGGTAACTGCATGGTAGTGGCTGAGGGGCTACCAGATTTCGTTGATTGTATATTTCCTCAGCAAGTTCGGTAGTTCAAAAATTTAGGAGAACATTCTCAAAGCCCAATGTGTCCTCGCCCTTCTCTCCCACGAACTGGAGGAGCAGTCTTACCTCCCCTAGAACCTTCGCTCACGACAACAACGGTAGTATAGAAATTGGACTATGCGAACTATCGATAAAAAATATTGAGGAGACTTTTCCCAATTTGTACATTTCATTTTTATTTTCAGCCGGCAAAGCAAAACCATGAATCACCAAATTAACGAAAATTTCCTGAGAATTAATAATATTTCCAAAAATGATCTAAATTTAATTATTATGCATTATATTATTTTTCTCTCTTACACGCAGTAAATTACTTATAATGGAGAACTGTTCTGTTTTAGAAAAAAATTGCTCAAATGAAGTCTTAAACTTTTATTATGAAAAATACAATATTTTGTAATACGTATATACTTCACCAACCACTGTTAAATTTTGTGGAATTGTGGTGGTTAAGTAAAGTCTTTCAACACTGTTAACCTAGTTTCTCCGTGAAGAAAAACAAAAATCCTCATTGACACTTTCCATTAAATCAGCATAATTCTTCCTTTTCATAATAATCAAATTTCCCCCCAAACTGCCATTTTCCTAGATTTTCCCTAAATCTACTCCACTTCCCCAAGGAACTTTTCACCAAAACTGGGAGCTCTGATTATTATTACAATTATTACACAACTACTACTGCTGCTGTCCGTCAGTTTTTGTCTGCCTTGGCTGTGTTCTCAGCCTGACCTGTGTTACTCTCTCAGTCTGACCTGTGATCCCTCTCAGTCTGACACCTGTGTTACTCTCAGTCTGACCTGTGATACCCCTCTCAGTCTGACCTGTGTTACCCTCTCAGTCTGACCTGTGATACCCTCTCAGTCTGACCTGTGATACCCTCTCAGTCTGACCTGTGTTACTCTCTCAGTCTGACCTGTGATACCCTCTCAGTCTGACCTGTGTTACCCTCAGTCTGACCTGTGTTACTCTCTCAGTCCTGACCTGTGATACCCTCTCAGTCTGACCTGTGTTATCCTCTCAGTCTGACCTGGCATACCCTCTCAGTCTGACCTGTGTTATCCTCTCAGTCTGACCTGTGTTACCCTCTCAGTCTGACCTGTGTTACCCTCTCAGTCTGACCTGTGATCCCTCTCAGTCTGACCTGTGTTATCCTCAGTCTGACCTGTGTTACCCTCTCAGTCTGACCTGTGTTATCCTCTCAGTCTGACCTGTGTACCCTCTCAGCCTGACCTGTGATACCCTCTCAGTCTGACCTGTGTTACCCTCTCTCAGTCTGTTCTGTGTACCCTCTCAGTCCAGCCTGTGTTACCCTTTCAGTCTGACCTGTGTTCCCTCTCAGTCTGACCTGTGCCCTTTCAGTCTGACCTGTGTTACCCTCTCAGTCTGACCTGATACCTCAGTCTGACCTGTGTTACCCTCTCAGTCTGACCTGTGATACCTCTCAGTCTGACCTGTGTTACCCTTTCAGTCTGACCTGTGATACCCTCTCAGTCTGACCTGTGTTACCCTCCTAGTCGACCTGTGTACCCTCTCAGTCTGACCTGTGATACCCTCTCAGTCTGACCTGTGTTACCCTCTCAGTCTACCCAGCATTACCCTCTCAGTCTGACCTGTGTTACCCTTTCAGTCTGACCTGTGTTACCCTCTCAGTCTGACCTGTGTTACCCTTTCAGTCTGACCTGTGTTACCCTCTCAGTCTGACCTGTGATCCCTCTCCAGTCTGACCTGTGTGCCACCTCTCAGTCTGACCTGTGCCCTCTCAGTCTGACTGTGTTACCCTCTCAGTCTGACCTGTAGTACCCCTCTCAGTCTGACCTGTGTTACCCTCTCAGTCTGACCTGTGATACCTCTCAGTCTGACCTGTGTTACCCTTTCAGTCTGACCTGT